CTCTCTCTTGCAGCATGCCCTGATGCGAAAATCACAGAGATCAGTGTGCTTGGGGGTGCTGCTGCGACGTCCAGGGAGGATAAACCAAGCCGTGAGCCTCTCCCAGCTGCTTTCGCGGCTTCCTGGAGCACCAAGAACCTTCGCGCTCTTCTCCGTTCCTCGCAACTGCAACAGATGTCCAGAAGCGTCAGGAAACGTGCGGCTTATAACCTGGTGCGCTTTATATATGGAAAAAGTTTGAAAAATTAACGTTAACTGATACTGCGGCTTATAATCCGGTGCGGCTTTTGGTCATGAAAATACGGTACATTAATCAATATCTTTACATCTTGTGAATTGGATGAGCCTATTCCTTGGTAGTTTTTATGCTGACTGAGTGTTTTTGGCTGCTATGCTATTTTATGTTATTTCTTCTGTTTTTACTGTTTTTATTGTTTTTAATTGTTAACCACCCAGAGATATATGAGATGGTGATCATATAAATCTATTATGTCTACAATCTGCATGATCTACTTTACACATTTTGTGCTCCACTAGTAATTACATTTCAAGATTCTTACCTGAGGAAAATGTACCATAAGTTTGTGGGGAATGCCCATTACATTATGCACATAATCAAAAATCTGTGTTAACTTCTTTTTGCCCATACTTAGGTTTTTAGGGACTATGTGTGCAATATGGCGGATTTCATTCTTACTAAATCCAAGTTCTTCCTCATACACCTGAAAAAGAGAGTGATTGCTATGAATCAATTTTAAAATTTGAAAGATGTCAGAGAAACATATGACATTGGGACAATATTTTCAGGGAAAAAATGAAGCATTTTTAATTTTTTTAAAAAAAAAGATTACATGTTCAACACAGTTCTGTGGATTGGCCAAAATAAAACAAATTGCAATATCTTTCCGAAATCCTTGTGTGCTTTGTATTCTCAGTATCTTTAGAATACTGAAACAGAAAATAAAGTCCAAGCTTTCAACAGACACACAATGTTAACTACTGTTATTGAGCATTCAATTTTTTTTTTCTAACATTAATTGATTGCACTTGAATATTGTATAAAGATAACTCTGCTGGAGTTTATAACAGCACACAACTTAGTATACAAAGAACTACCTCACACTAGCTTTTCATCGTATTTCTGTATTTATAAAGAACTTAACGGAACATATTAGTTTCAAAGTCACAGGGCTTATGCAAAACACTTCACATGTACTAGGGCAGGGGCCCTCAAGCTTTTTAAACAGGGGGCCAATTCACGGTCCCTCAGGGGGCCACACTGGCTGGGTGGGTGTGGCTAGTTGCTCATGTGATGGTGGGCGTGACTAGGTCATGTGATTAGGTGGACATGGCCAATTTAACAGTCCATTGAACAAAGCACACAAATTAAACTTTAATTTGTTTTGCTCCTGTGGGTGTTTTATTTGCTTTTGTTTGCATGTTACTCTTTTGGTTGCCTTTTCTTTTTACTAGATCTTTTTTTCAGTTGTTTAGTGGTCCACTTCAGGAAACTCAGTTTTGCAGCAATTCTTCTCAGCCCCAAGGAATTTGAGAAATCTCTCTCTCTGTCTCTCTCTCTTTCTCTCGCTCTCTTTATCTCCTGGACGCAGGGGAGGTGACAAACAGGCTGTTTTCACTTGTTTTTTGACCTCTTGGGGTGTCTGTGCACCCTGCTCCCCCCACCTCCAGAAGCCTTTTACAGGCCAAAAACAAGTAAAAACAGCTTGGTTTTGGGCTAAAACCAGACTGTTTTCGCTCATTTTTGGCCTGTTGGTTCATCTGTACACCCCGCTTTTCACCCTTCCCACCTCTAGAATGTCTCTGCAGGCCAAAATTGTTGGCCTTACCTTACAGATCCAGCCCGCAGGGCTTGCAAAGTTAAGTCCTGTGTTCGCCAGATTAATGGCTTTGGCGGGTCACATGCAGCCTGCGGACCGTAGTTTGAGGACCCATATACTAGGGTATTATTTCTATTATATGTTATAAGTATAATGTAGAACTGGAACATGCGAAAATTGGTCCAGTTGCTATCCTGCATGACTCTTAACAACTTGTATGTGTTGAAATAATTTTACAATAATTGCTAAAAGAAGGAGACTTACTGCAAGATTTTCTTCGATTGGTTCAAGATTGCCAGTTAGCAATCTTGGAAGACGGGTTACCAAATTTCTAGTCTACATTCAAAAAGAAATAAAAATGTATTAAATAATATACATTTAGGGTAAAATAAACATTTGTATTTTGTTGGCAGAGTATATAGAGACAACATGATTCTAGTTGAAAAAAATATGGACGTATATAGTATATCAAAATCACATTGGAAGACTATTTACTTTAATATATTGGCAGTTTCCATACACATGTAATTTTAAAAGCAAGCAGTGATATATTTTCTATTTTTGCTTATGCTTCTGTTTAGAGTGCCAGCCATATTCATGGGAAGCTATTGTGCCTCAGGTATGGAATTACAGACACAGATTTTCTTATTTGGGTGTTATGGTTATGTAAGGAAAAAAATCTACCAAATATACAACTCAGAGTGAATAATATAGGAATGCATTTTATAACATAGGTAAAATCTTAACAGGATTTCAGGTTCAACAATTTATATACATATGTTGAACATCATGACTCAATTACTTCAGTTTCTATGGCAATGGGTTTTTTTTGTCTAACCTATAACAACACTATATATATTCTTTTCAAAAAAACTGGGTATAATGGCTGTTCTCTGCCCTCTAGATAAATGTCTATCTAATAGGAAATTTTAAATTCTTGTAATGAAAAAGAGTCTTACTATCTGTTTATGATTTTTGATGATTTTTTTCCATTATATTTTCACATACCGTGGGCAAATATATACTGTAATCAAAATAGAAATTATCAATATCTCTCCAGTTGTTGCTGAATTCCAAATAAATGGAATGCTACACAGTGTTCATTTCAATATAAAGTGGTCTTTAAAGAAAAGCAAAAGGTACCTTTCTTGGATTTAGTCCAAGTACATTTTGGAAGAAACCCAATCTATCATCCAGATTTTCCACAGAAAGGAGGAGTAAACATGGATCCCTTAAAACCATTTGTGTAACTGCTTCTTTGGGAAATTTTTTTGATATTAGATAGTCGACCCTGGAAAATAGGGAAATATATTTATTTATAATGAAATAAAGCAAAGTGGCAACTATTTATCTAAATGACCACATCCCTGGCATTATCTATCAAAGTAGCAGATATTTCAATAATATTAACAAGTAAAGCAGCTAAAATGAAGGGTGAAAAAGTCTTCACTAAAGCCAAATACCACAATTCCCAATTAATGAGAATAAAACCATAATGTAAAAATGTTAAAGAATTAGTTAACAATTTCCAACTACATTTAAATAAAAGTTCTGTCAATACTAGCTGAGTTTTGCGATATGATCTTAATATCCCATATGGTTTACACTAAAATAAGCATGCAAAAATATATGTTTGCAACTGAATGCAAATACATTATGATTTTAAGGAATAGCCCTTAATGAACTTAAATGGCATGTTTAAATAAATCAAGAAACGTTGTCAAACAGTGACTCTAAAGATTTACATTCTTTCTCTGCCCAAAAGACATAACCATGGAAAAAGTGCTGGGAATTCATTTTGGACATTCATTGTTCTTCTAGCCTATTTCTTAAAACAGAAGCCTTAATACTATTCAGTTCATGAAAACCTGTTTGCGGGGGAGGCAGGCTTTCTGGACAGAAGGTCAATTGTGAATCTCAGAAAGCATTGAGGATAAACTGGCCAAACCGACTTGGATAAACATTTCCACTGTAATGTTGTAGCTACAAAAGGACAGTGAAAAAGAATTTACTTGAAAAGGATCCCAAAATTAACATGTTCTTGGCATTGCCAACTGACCCATAAAGAACCAACTGTAATGTTCTTGTCTTTTTGTTTTAATTAACCTCCCCCAAATGTAGATAGCATATTCTCCAAATATTACACAGAAACAATCTACAGGTTTTTCCTGCTCAGCAAAATTTGGAAGATGGGGAGAAGGAAGATTATATAAAGGAATCGTTATTTATTTTATTTCCTTCCATTCTCCCATTTTTTTAAACTATGTTAAAAGAGTCTTATAAACTTTTATCCCATTTCTGAATCTACCATTTCACCAGAACCTGCTTTAATAGTATTCACAATTTGATTTCATTCAGATATAACAGAAACCATGTTTTTAGCAACTGCAGTGACGCTTAATCTCTTTTGTGTGCTACAAGGGAGAAAAAAAGTTTTCCTTTGATTTTAACATTCTCTTGTGATGCTGAGAAATCTGGAAAATTATGTTTTTAATTATGTATTCTTTGCACACTAGCAAGTGATTTAGGGCTTACAGTCATAATTCAGCAGCATCTGAGGTGACTGTAAATTTCTACGATGGGTGCCTACACTGCTATATAAAGTCCTCTGGAAACTTAAGAGATACTGGTTTTGCACTTGAATCGATTTAAAATCCAAGTCATTTTTATATCCTCCATTAATAAAATGCATAAAGATTGTAGTGTGAAGTTAAGCTTCTAGAAAGTGTTTCAATTTCTCTATCACCAACAGCCAACCAGCATTGTAGCCTTATTAAGAATTCTCCATCTTCAATAGGATGTTATGGCACTCCTACTTCAGACTCTTATGTTTTTAAAACATATTTTTCATATGTGCTGTTAGAGGTAATTTCCCTTGAGCAGGTTATCACAAAAAGACTGCATGAGGTTTACAGAATGCCTTAGTTGATCATAAATATAACTTTTAGCAAAACTTAAATGTTTGATTTTCTTACATATTTTGATCTTCAAGAATGTTATTGTATACTAAAACTCTTTTCAAGCCATTTTAATTATATTATACTCAAGATGTAACTGCTAAAATATTTCCTCTGTTGATAAAAGATTATTTTCCCTTCAACCAGAATATATGATTAATGATAAGCCTTTAAAGAAAATGGCAAGTAAAATTAATTTAATCTCTAATCAACCCACTGTTATTTTTTATTTCTATCTACTGACAAGGAATTTTAATTTTCCCCATAATGATAAACACATGTCTGTGTTTAGTCAAGTCTCAACAATCGAATTCTGTTTACTGAAAATAAACAAAACTCCCTTTTCCCCCAACTTTAGGAAAAGCTCCACGAAAATTCAACGCATGCATTTTATTGGACTCTATTTGGGAAGGAATTGTGTGTAATAATGAACAGAACTTGGCATTTTTTCTAAATAGCAGCTGCTGTACTTGTTTAAGCCATTCAGTTGACATTACAATTAGCCTTTATTGAGCAACCACAATTAGGACTGGCGACTTGGTTATTAAGTGAATTGGTTGCTAAGTGAAACCATGATTGTAGTTCATGATCTTACATCAGCTTCCCCTTGCTTTACAGACCTGTGAAGGTTGTAAATGCGAGGTTGGTCACAAAATTACTTTCTCATCACTACTGCAGCTGTGAATGGTTGCTAAATGAGGCAGTTGCTAAATGAGGATTATTGGCATGTTCAATTTGTGACTGGAAAAACTTTGGTCACAAAATCCATTTGTAAAATAGCAAGCTTAGTAACCTACCAACCTAAAACACTATACTCTTATATGAATCATGTACTGACTTCATGTACACCTCCTTTTCTCATCAGCTTTTATTCTTCATGCCAGCAGTGCTGTTTAGAAATTCTTAGCTCCTGTTACCATACCGAACCTACTATTCTAAAGTGGTGTCACTGGAGCAAACAAGAAATCCAAGGGATTCCAACTCAATGCAGGTTTAAACATCTGAGGTTTGATGGATGAGGGAGTTGGAATGCCCAGATGTCCTTACCTTGTGTTTAGATCTTCCACTTCTTCGTTGAGAATATAAGGATTTTTAGTGAGAAATGGCCCAAATTGTGTATCTTCCAAACCAATATCATTAAGAAATAGAAGGATTTTTTTAATGTCAGTTTCAAAATCGAGTTTTACAAGAAGCTGGCCTGCATTTGGAAGTTTTTCCACCATGGACAAGTTGACTCCTGCAGGAAATTCAAAAACTGATTACATAGCCATTCAGTGAAAATAAATATTTGTCCTGCAGCATGTCTAGTTTTGTACATGCAAACAGTAAAAGCTATGCGTTCTACTTTAGATATAAATATTATAAATATACTTGGAACAGCCCCACTGAAATCAATCAGCTTTAAGGTACAGTCACGTTGACACCAACAGGTTTATTCTAAGTCTGATCATGTCTGAATCCACCCCTGATGTTTAACAATTTTGAGTTCTACTGCACAATCGTTCATTTATAGTCATTTTTAATGTAATTGAGTAAACATAGATAGCAACTCTAAATAATTAATGATTGTGGTAGAAAGAGCTCAAGGCTCATTGATTTCTATCATTCTGGTAAAATCAGCTCCATTCTCTAAAGGTCTCAGAAGAATATAGATTACTGGCACCAAATAATTTAATATGATATATGATATTGATATCATATTAAATACGATATTTAATATGAATAGGAGCAGAGGTGGCACAGTGGTGCAGGCTACTTTAGCTGACTGCTAGCTGCAATTCAGCAGTTCAAATCTCACCAGTTCAAGGTTGACTCAGCCTTCCATCTTTCCAAGGTGGGTAAAATGAGGACCCATATTGTTGGGGGCAATAGGCTGACTATGTAAACCGTTTAGAGAGGGCTATAAAAGCACTATGAAGCAGTATCTAAGTCTAAGTGGAATTGCAATGATACAGATACAGAAATTTTAATATATTGATTGTAAGGGTAATATGCAATACTGTATACATCCTGAAGTACATATAGATAAATAATATATCTAAAGAAGTTGTTTTCCAAATTCTTCATGAATTTCTTGGATTTAAGAACCCTTCTATCAGAAAGAAATTGTGCAAAAGAAAATGGTTTCTGCCCTCAATTACATTTCTGCAATATATACCATCCATCTACCATTTTATGATAAAAATATGGTATATTCTGCAAACATGAATGTGTTGCATATTAAAAACACGACGGGCTGTTATATAGTAAAAATGGTTATCACAGAGTTCCAACATATCACGAAGTGATTAGCAAGTGGAGCTATTCTTACCTAGAAGCACCAATTTGCGCAATGTTTCCGAATGGTCAACGTAATCTCTAAGTGAGAAAGATTCTAACGGAGGTGGTGGTGCAGCTTTGATTTGAAGAGACTCGTCTTCTGAAATTTTCTCCAAGGGAGATATAGGCAAGTCATCGTCCAAATCTTAAGTTCATTAAAGTGAAAAAAACAACTGAAGTTAAGGAAGTGATAGAATATCAAACAAAATAATGGCTTTTATATAGTGAATAGAGCTGAGCTATCTTAGCTACTGATAAATAACCCTAATGAGAATTCTTTTATTATTCTGGATTAAATTGATTATTATTCCTTCAATTTCATTACAGTATTTGTTTTCAAAATATAGGGGAAGAGCGATTCTGCTTTTTAAATAGTCTATTGAAGACTATTATTTTTTTAAAATGAGAAACCCAAAAACAATATGACTGTTTAGGAATCCCCCCTCTGCCCCCCCCCCCAAGTTTTTATTATATAATTCTGTTCTTATGGCAGCCAATGAAACCTGAAGCAAATCTGGTGCAATTTAGTGTCTCAAAGATTCCCAATAGTTTTTGCCATTTTGCTATAGATGATCTACAGTATATCTGTCCAACTCAACTATATTTCCCCATCTTTTTAGCTAGGTTGATTTTATAACATTGTGTTTATATTATTAAGTTTTATACAGTTTTATCTTTCAATATTGTAAGCCACCGACAGTTACCACGTGGCAAGATGGGTAGGTAATAAATTTTATAAATAAACAAATCAATGAATAAATAATTTACCAATTATTTACATAAAAATGGTAGTAGGTACAATAATCTGCACTCATGCCTAATCTCTAACAAAATAATAATTTTGGTTTGATTGAGTCTCCACATTTTTTAATAAAAATTTATTGGCCACCCATCTTACCAAAGGGCAATGCTGGGTGGCTTACAATCATACACACACACACACACGCACGCATGCATGCACAGACACACACACCTCCAAATGTGTGGCTCTGAAGAAGAAAATTATAACTCATTTCTGAAAGTTATAACCCTAGAAAACATTCTACAAATTTGCTTTTACAACCAGCAGTGTCACAAGTTTTATACTTGCATATTTGCTCCTACAAACACAGACAGACAGACATGTTAGATTCCCACAGACTGTATTAAACTATTAACTGTCTGGGATTACATAACACAATAAAATCAAACAAGCCATATTATACCTTAGGGTAAAGAATGAACCCAATTGGAAATTTAGATTTTGATTGGAAATTTAGCATAATTATATTAAATCCATATTTATAGCTGCACAAGCAATATTAAATCATTGCTAATTTAGATAAAATAGTATACTATGGCTTACTCAAGGCTGAGATCAGACATTTCTAATTACACTGCATAAAGGGAGGGGGGAAAAGGTGTTTTTGCAATGAACCCAGATAGCTTTGAAGCTGAGGGTAATTCATATACTGAATATTTTATTACTCTACAAATCAAGGAGTTTTGCATGAAGGCTACACATGATTTGGACAAGAATGCTTAGGCTAGATGGGCATGCCTTAGCAGGAGGAGGACAGTGAAGACCAGGTGGGCCGGTGGAGTATAAGACAGCCAAAAGGGCAGATATACGAAAGGAGATAAGGACTGGGGTGCATTGGGTCCCTAACCTTGCTGAGGTTTAGGACTGGGAAGGACCAATCCAGGAGTAGCTTGGATCAGATCCCACACTTGGTGGGATTTGGTCAACAGTGGCAAGGGGGAATTCTATCACTAAGTAATGTGTCAAGTGATTACTTACTTTTCCAGTCTTGTTTGCTGTTATTACCTGGGTACTACTTGTATAAGATTCACTCTCAACTCTGCCAAATAATTTTCTCAGGCTCAGTTAAAAGGTGTGATTTAAATACTATAGCAGACAATAAATTCGAAACAATTTTTTCATAAAGAAGGCAGAGGAAATAAAATTGAAAACTTTTAGATGTAGTGCTGCGATGGATCATGTTCAACATCATATAAATGTAATTTGTTACTTACCTTGAAGAAATTCTTCGGTATCTAAAGCAGGTACTATCTCAGGTTTTGGCTTGTCAATGAGAGAAAGTGCAGTCTGATGAGGTTCAGTACTTGAGCTGCAGAAGTGCCTGTGATTCTCCAGATGCAAAGTTCTGAAATTCTTTAACAGCATGTGGCAGTAATATCCATAAGGGCAAAGGCGCTGCAACTTAGATGATTCAAGAAAACGTGTCCACATTTTTACTGATTCCTTTCTCAGCTCTGCACTCTTTGTAATATTGTATGCATTTAATAAAGAGCAGCATCTGGAAACCTGTCGAGTCCACAAAGGCATCTTACTGATTAAGATCTGCAAGAAAAGACCAAATGAATATTTACATTCATTTGTTGGACAGAATAATGCTGGTTTGCTGATTGATGTAGGAGACGGCCAGGCTGAGCTCGAGGGAGGGGTCAAACAACTCATCAGTTCTGATCCCTTCACGCCCACAAGAGATATACATTTTGAATTCTTTTGACTCTTATCTACCACAAATTTTCTTTGACTGTTAGTAGTTCAGATTCTTGTATAGAACATACAATAAGCCATTCATTTGAACTGCTTGAATTTCTGTTTTCCTGTGCTTGACAATTGTTATTATGTTAAGGATAGGAAACCTTGAAAGCCCTCAAAACCTGGTTTTGCCATGGAGTATGGAGATCCCATGGAACTGGGGAGCCTGTCAAAAGACTGGTGTAAATTTAGACTGCACTCTTCATTGTTTTTTCCCATATTAAAGCTTTTTAACTATTTTTCATTGGTTTTTAATAGTTGAATTGATTGTTTAGCTTTTGTTTTAATTTTCTTTTTTTATTAAAAGCTTTAAAAAGGTTTTACAAATTTTACCTCCCCTCCCCCCACCTCCCCACCTTTTGTTTTAATTTTCTTTGCCACTCAAATTCACATGCTAGTGAGATGGACAGGTATAAAAGTTCAGTCACCAACCAATCAAAGGGTGGATTTGATTTAAATCAAATCAATTTAAATGCAATTTAAATCACTAGTAAAAAGGCTTGATTTAAATCAACTCACTTTAAATTATAATTTTTGAAGAGCAACATCTCTGTCCCGCAGCAGCTCCTCCTCTGACCTGCTGTTGACTCACCGACAGCCCCAATATTGCAGAATATACAGCCTCATGCTACACAACTACCCTCTATTTCATGCTGAATAAACTAAATTATTAATGTATCTTAAATAGAGAACTATCTTTAGATAGATTTTTACTCCAAAAGTATTTTATTAAAATAAATTTGATTTAAAAAATCCGATTTACATAAAAAAAGTCCGATTTAAATTTTAAAAATTTAAAGTAACCCATCCCTAAAGTAGGGGTTTTTTTGCCTCCCCCCCTCCCCAAGAAAAGATTGCTATATCCTCAGCCAACATGACTGAAATAGTATTATATATCAGGGATGAGATCTCTGTAAGGTTCTAGCTGCTGCGTGGAGAAAAAAATTCTCCTTACAGTTAATATACTGGCAGAACCAAAATTAGATAAAATCTGCAACACAGTTCAGTAGTTATACAGTCATCCTTTTTCTCTGTTGTCTCAATTTTATAGACAACATGAAGTACAGGAGGGTCTACAATCTGTGGCCCTTCAGAGTTTCTGGACTAAATTTCGCATCATCCATCACAAGAACGCAGCATCCCAAATGAGAAAAGATAGCAGTGGGTGTCTAGTTAAAATGCATTAACAATACTATAGTCCTTGACTAAGAGCCATAATTGAGCCCAAAATTTCTGTTGCTAAGCAAGCCATTTGCTAAGTGAATTTTGCCCCATTTTACGACCTTTCTTGCCACAGTTAAGGGAATAACTGCAGTTGTTAAGTTAGTAACACCGTTGTAAAGTGAATCTGGCTTTTCCATTGACTGTGCTTGTCAGAAGGTTGCAAAATATGATCACATGACTCCAGAACATCGAGACCATCATAAAACATGAGTCAGTTGTCAAGCATCTGAATTTTAATCACATGACCATGGGGATGCTACAGTAGTCATAAGTGTGAAAAGCGGTCATAAGTCACTTTTTTAGTGCCGCTGTAAATTTAAAGAGTCACTTCAAATAACCTAAATGAACAGTTGTAAGTCGAGAACTATCTGTACTATATTTACTCCAACATCGGTCGCCTTTAGGTGATGGCCAGATCAGAGTGTCCTCGACAGGATACTCCAGGAACGGCAAGGGGATCCCTTATGAGCCTCCCCAATAACGACTTGTGGAAGAGTCGTCCGCTCCTCTGCTCGCAATAGAATACCTTATGCCACCAGGCTTGAAATTTTGGCCTTAGACAACTTAGAACTACGCCGCCTTCGGTCTGACCTAAGCATAGTACATAAAATTATCTGCTACAATTTCCTACCTGACAATGGCTACTTCAACTTCAACCACAACAATACAGTAGCACACAATAGATACAAACTTAAGGTAAACCGCTCAAAACTTGAAAATACGACTTCAGCAACAGAGTGATCAATGCCTGGAATGCGTTACCTGACTCTGTGGTATCTTCCCCAAACTCCCAACACTTTAACCTTAGACTGTCTACTGTCGACCTCACCCCATTCCTAAGAAGTCTATAAGGGGCGTGCATAAGCGCACCAATGTGCCTACCGTCCCTGTCCTCATTTATTTGTATCCATTTCATGTATTCAAAATCATGTTTATACTTATATGTGTTAACTAATCAAGGGACGAGCTGGCTCAGTGGCTAAGACTCTGAGCTTGTCGATCAGAAAGGGTGGTGGTTTGAATCCCTAGCGCCGTGTAATGGAGTGAGATCCCGTTACTTGTCCCAGCTTCTGCCAACCTAGCAGTTCGAAAGAATGTAAAAAACACAAGTAGAAAAATAGGGATCACTTTGATGGGAAGGTAACAGCGTTCTGTGCGCCTTTGGTGTTGAGTCATGCCGGCCACATGACCACGGAGACATCTTCGGGCAGCGCTGGCTCTTCGGCTTTGAAACAGAGATGAGCACCACCCCCTAGAGTTGGGAACAAACACAGTGGTGGGTTGCAGATGGTCCGCCCTCATACAGGCGTACCGGTGCCTGCCTGGAGCACCTGGTACCGTTTTGGTACAGTGCTCCGGAGGGCCCACCCACCCGCCCATCGTCCTTATCTGTCTTTAAACTCTTCAGCGCTTCAGCGCACACAGCGCCAGTGTGACGTTCCGCCGAGTACCTGGAGCATCGCGGAGGCGTTGCTGGAGGGTAGGACGCATGCGTGCACTGCACGCATTCATGTGCAGGATGCCAGGTCCTGTAACCAGTTGCAACCAGTATGGTTGCAACGGGATCCAGAACCCACCACTGGACTAGCACATCTATGCAAGGGGAACCTTTACCTTTATGTTATCGAATACATGCTTGACTGACTGACTGACTGACTGACTGACTGACTGACTGACTGACAAATAATAAATAAATAATAAATAAATGCACGCATACATGCATACATACATACCAAACATCGGTGACGCCCAGATCAGAGCCTCCCCAAAACGACTTGTAATAAATTCCACAGAGCACAGAAACCCAGGGCGCTGACTTACTTCTGAGGAAGGACCCACCAGAAGCGACGAACTCACCCAGCTGCACTCCGGACCAGGGAAAGCTGCAGCTCTCGATCCCGGGAGGTTTTGTTTTTTTCGTCCTTCGAGGATCCGCTGCTCGGAGCTGCGCCTGAAGGAAGAAGAGGGAGTGAAGGGGTGGACTCCAACGCCTGCCCGGCTGCAGAGAAGCCCTCCTCGCCTTCACGAAGGTCGCCTTCCCCGGCACGCAAGGGCGCCCCTCCTGACGCAAAGAGCGGGAGGCCAGGCCCCGAGCAGCTCTTCCTCGTGGCGGCGGCGGCGGCGGCAGCGGCGGGCTACGTCTAAAGCGCCGCGCCGCCCCTTCTCACATCCCGGCTACGTTTCCTCGCTGCCCGCGGCCGCGCCTCCTTCTGCTTTCCCATCCCTTTCGCTGAGCCGCGAGGGTTGGGAGCGGCGGGAGTGGTGGGCCCGCTGTCGCCGCCGAGAAGGAGGAGGAGGGAAGGCGCTGCCACCATGGCGTCGTATATGGGGAGTCGCACTTTGAGCAAGGACGATGTGAACTATCGGATGCACTTCCGCATGATCAACGAGCAGCAAGTGGAGGACATCACCCTGGAGTTCTTCTACCGGCCCCACACCATCACCCTGCTCAGCTTCACCATCCTCAGCCTCATGGCCTTCGCCTTCACCAGGTACCGGCGGGACCGGAGCGATCCGTTGAGGGGCGCGGGGCGCGGTAGCAGCCCGGCTGACGTGCGAGGACTACCCGCCCGCAGAGACCATCGGCTCTGCCACAGGATGGGCGACCCGAAACCGGGACAACTTTGTGGCAGGGTGTTTTTTTTTTGGCGAGGGGTGGGGGTGGCAGTCCGGCTTGGATGCTGGAGATGGACCGTATGTGTGCAAGTGCTTTGCACCGGTCCGCTGCCGTGGGGAGCATCGTCCTGTAACATTACGGGGTTGCAGCTTTCCGAATATATTTATTTAATGTAGAGTTTCCTAACGCGTGGTCCCAGGAACCCTGGGGAATCCCCCTAATATCCTCTCAGGGGTCTGCAAAATCAAATTTATTTGCCATCTTCTGAAGAAATTTGCAAAAAAAAAATTAAAATAAGGTCTTTTCAGTTTTTTTTAAAAAAATAGTTGAAAAATACAGGTAGCTTTCGTGAAAAAACCTATTAATTCATATTTAATGAGTTTATATTGTTGCTTTTACACGATTCATGAAATAAATGTTTCATGAATGTGTCACTTTTAATTTTGAATATGGTAAATATTGATAAAGATAACCTATACAGCAAAAGCTCTTGGAGGGTCCTCCATAATTTTTAAAAGTGGGAAGGTGAAAGTAAAAAGTTTCAAAGAAACACCTTGTTTTAGCCTTGCAGAAGTGATGCACTTTAGATCTGGCTAATGCAGTTTAGGAGATTGACCACCCTGTATTAGTTGTATTGATTTTCATCAAAGAAGGGTGAACCAGAAGTAAAAACTGAAGTGCTTTCTCTAAAAACACCTTCCTGAATAAGTAGTATCTTTGTTAATGTTTATAGGCCTTAGATTCTTTAGCAAGAACTGTACGTCAAACAATATTTGGATATCCATTTACTTCAGAGTAAAGAGACACAGATTTATGTTTTACCATTTTTTTGTGGGAAGTCAAGACGTGTATATTTAATTTCTGTGACTCATTCTACTGTTAAACAAGAAGAATGAGAAGTTCTGTTCTCTCTAGTGACCTAGATAGGGTGGAGCTATCAAGATGTTTTAGAAATGATAACAACTAAAATCAATGGGGAGAGATAATAAAGGGAGTTTGGAAGAGAGAAATGAAAAAGAAAATGAGTGAATGCAATCTGACATCGAGGCCTAGTTGGTTAATATATATCGCTCAGATAATATTGTAAGATTTAAAAAATTATTAAAGAAAGAGCTGTCTAGAATTTCTCTTCCTACTCTTTTCTTGTCAACAATTTCTGTTAACAATTAGCTTTTCCTGGGTTCATAAAGACATTTTTGTTTTAAAAGTCTTGACAACACCAGTTTCCAGATGTGGTGGAACAGTTCTTCTGGGAAAATGTACCTGATAGCAGCTCTTGTTCCCATTTTGATTGCCAGTAATGTTAAAATCTCATCTTCCAAAAGTTTTGTCTGCTGCAGATGTAATCATTTGGTGCAATATCCTTGTTGTGATGACATAAATTTATAGTGGTAACTGTCAACTATTGCTCAATAACCTTAATCCATTTGGAGAGGAAAAGTATGAGGAAGCTAAAATAAAGATAACCTCACTATTGGTGGAAAAAAAGGAACAAGTTAGCTGACAGCATCCAGCAAACTTATTGGTCAGTTTTCCTGTAATTATGCACACAAATAGATCTCTTGGAATTCAATGCACTTGCTGAATTAATTCTTATTCTTTGGTATTTTAATTTTCCTGCCAACATAGCAGTTTCAAAGCATGCAAATGCAAATAGATAAATAGGTACCACTTTGGTGCGAAGGTAACAGTGTTCCATGTGCCTTCAGTTGTATAGTTATGCTGGCCACATGATCGGACAACACTAGCTCCCTCAACTAGGAAATGGAGATGAGCACCGCCTTCTAGAGTTGAACATGACTTGACAGGGGAAACCTTTTCCTTATAAAAATTTTAATTTATGAATACTGTCATATTGCCCTTACAATTTTACAAATTCTTATGTAAAAATACCTTCCATGCTAGCATGAATATAATAGCATGTATATAATTGATAATTTATACAATTATGCATGTGTGTTTACAGATGTGCATGCATCGTAGATTGTTGCATTTGTACAAATTTCCACTGATGTATTGTGATGTACATATCAAAAAATGCACATCATCTATGCATGTCATTTATGCTAAATCCTTTAGTGTATTGTACTAAAGTGACTACAAGTGGTAAATCTTTATATGTGAATTGGAAGAAACTAAATCACAGTGTTCTGCTTTATTTCTATAGAAAATAGAGATGCTAACTATACAAAATAGAGCTGTTAAATATGGTAATAATACAAACAAATATCCAAAAATAATTAACAGAAGATGCAAAGTCAAATTCCATGTGCTGAAGTGCTGATTCTTACAATAGTGTGATCAATTTTTTGGATAAGTAAATACATATAATCCAATACGTAAGAAAAAGTTACTTTTAAATGTACAGAATTGTACATATGAAGTCTCTTATATCTAGAGAAAGATTCGCCTAGTATACAGGAAAGGGATTTTTGGATTTTTCTGCCATTGGCCTTAAGGAATATGAGTTCCATTTGCCTCAACCATAATGCATCAACTCAAGAACGCTCTACTCCTAATTCTAGCTTGTGTATCCTAATTATTTCATTGGTTTTTTTCCTCATTTAAATATTGTTGCTTACTCTTACACATACTCTGGCATAGAATTACTTAAATTAATTATTCCAGCTTTCACTGATTTCTACTAGCATAATGATTCAGTTACCAGAATGCAGTCATTGCATCGTTGATAATTACATGGTAGAAATCTTTCATACCTTTGAACTGAGGCAGAAAGAAACAGCATCCTTTTATCTACAATGAAAAAAATTGTCACAGACATCTATATTAAACTAACTTTTTATTTAGTAGAAAGCTTCAATTTTTATTTGTCTGAAATAAGAGAAGGGTAATATAAAGAACTTTTTAAAACAAGGTTGTTGTGCGGATCATGTTGTTTTTCAGATTGGATATTACAATCAATATCTTTATTTTGGTCGGCAATTCTTTACTTCTCTACATATTAATTAAGTAGCAAGTATGGGCGTCCCAAAGGTGATTTTTCAAAAGGCAATTAAACTTTGTTGGTTTGCCTTTTCACTTGAACTTTTGTAGGAAAAACACAAGGGATTTCACGGGATAGAATTTAAATGTCTGAACAGAGCTTCCAAAGAATCAAGGTTGGAAAATATATCTCTATTAAACTATTCTCCAAACTCAATCTAAGTAATTCCCAAGTTCCAGTGTAATCCTTAAAAGAAGGCCAATTGCTTTTTGAAAAGCACCTTTATAGCAATAGCAATAGCAGTTAGACTTATATATCGCTTCATAGGGCTTTCAGCCCTCTCTAAGCGGTTTACAGAGTCAGCATATCGCCCTCACAGTCTGGGTCCTCATTTCACCCACCTCGGAAGGATGGAAGGCTGAGTCAACCTTGAGCCGGTGAGATTAGAACCACTGAACTGCAGATAACAGTCAGCTGAAGTGGCCTGCAGTACTGCACCCTAACCACTGCGCCACCTCGGCTCTTATCTAAGATAGATAGATAGATAGATAGATAGATAGATAGATAGATAGATAGATAGATAGATAGATAGATGATAGACAGATAGATAGATATGATTAGATAGATGATGATAGATAGATACATAGATGATAGACAGATAGATAGATATGATTAGATAGATAGATGATAGATAGATAGATAGATAGATAGCAAAAGCAATAGCAATAGCAGTGAGACTTCTATACCGCTTCATAGGGCTTTCAGCCCTCTCTAAGCGGTTTACAGAGTCAGCATATCGCCCTCATAGTCTGGGTCCTCATTTCACCCACCTCGGAAGGATGGAAGGCTGAGTCAACCTTGAGCCGGTGAGATTAGAACCACTGAACTGCAGATAACAGTCAGCTGAAGTGGCCTGCAGTATTGCACCCTAACCACTGCGCCACCTCGGCTCTTTAGGACAACTGTGAACTGCATGATTAAGCATTTCTATATATATTTTAACAAGTATGGTCAATTTTGAGGAACCAGAAAAATATGTATATATTGATTGTATGGATTAGCTTTTGTTTCTTATACAAAAAGACAAAACAAGTTACTGGGCTTGAAGATAATTTAAACGAATAAAAGTGTTTTAATTGTATGTTTTACTTTGTCTTTTTTTTTTAAAGAGATGATTCAACCCCTGAAGATAACATTTGGAAAGGCATCCTCTGTGTGGTATTTTTCTTTCTAATCATCAGTGTTCTAGCTTTTCCCAATGGTAAGTACCATCACTGTATGTGACTTTCAAGAATATTGATTTACTGTATTTTTATAATGATATTATGTGTACTGTATTTAACATTGTTCTTTTAAGAATTACACTGAACTGAAGGTTTATATAAGATTTTCATTTCCAGACTCCAGAATAGAATAGACACAGACACGCACACACATTAACAGAGTTGAAAAAGAGAGTGGAATCCCTTAATCAAAGGATATTAAATATTGAATTCAGCATGTATACTTAAAGGAAATCTTGTTAAAATCTATGGCAACTTCTGCAAGAAAAGATTTTAGAATTCCAGTTATTTATTCTTCAGTGTTTCACTTTCTATATATGCTAAATTATTAAAATAGGTAGCAGACTTCTTGCCTATATTGAAAATTCTAAGGATTAAGTAATTGTCACGTTACATACAAGTATATGAACTGCTTTTGAACTGTGGCAGTTTTTTGGTTATTATTGAGACTTAAGCTAACTTCCTAATACTGTAATCTTGGAAAGACAGATTGATTTTACAAGTATTTACTTGGGCATGAATCTTACTATTTCAAAGGAATTAAATTTAAAATGTTTTTTATATTTTATTTTACTTTTTAAATTATTCAGTAATTTAATTGACCAATTAAATTCCCAAAGAAAGGCTGTTTTCTTCTTGGGAGGTTAATATTTTTTGGCTTTTACTTATCAATAAACAGAAATCCTATTCAGGTATTCTCCCGAATGAATTGTGCTAAAATACAGGATGGAGGCATGCATACCAATTGCCTTCCACCCTGGGTAGAAGCACTGTTTGTCCACGTTGTTGTTGTTGTTGTTGTTGTTGTTGTTGTTTATTAGGACTCACAATAAACAGGGAAAGGGAAATAAATAAGACAATACAAAGAATTT